GCCGGACCGGATCCGGTCGATTATGCTTGATTTATCCGGTCCGGTTTTACTCGGTAAAGTACAGTGAACTCAGACAGAAAAGATTACGACGGACTACGACTTACCAAACTTATCAATCAACTTATCATCAATAAACTGATGTTGATAAAATTATCAACAATCAACGTATGGCACAAATCTGACCCGTTTTTAAAAGAATTCGACATTTTGACCCATTTTGGCCGTGTCGACATTTTTACCATTCCATATTTTTACGATTCCATATTTTAACCCTTTTTTACCCGATTCGATATTTTAACGATTCCATATTTTAACGATTCGGTATTTTAACCCCTTTTTAGCCTATTCGCGATTTTAACCATTCCATATTTTAACGATTCCATATTTTGTACCGGAGCCATAAAATTCTCTAACACAGCCGCGTAAATGTTCTCTTAGCACTTTTTCACGTGCCCGCTCAACTCATCGAATCCTTAACTCATCGAATCGACCAAAAACGCTCAACTCATCGAATCGGCTAAAATTCCTCAACTCATCGAATCGGCCAAAAACACTCAACTCATCGAATCCTTAACTCATCGAATCCTCAACTCATCGAATCGGCCAAAAACGATCAACTCATCGAATTTTTCCAAAAGGGGACGTTTGAGTCCCCTGTTTTTATTTTTCTCCCGAAAGGGCTAACTGAATCTTCGTTGAAAAAATTTTTTGCTGCTATGGAGGCTAGGAAAAAGGGCTTTTGGGCATAATCGGGGTCTACTGGACTAATTTGGTCCGGTTTTACCCGGTAAAATCTCCGCATAATTTATTAGGAATGAGATAATGTTTTCAGGAATGAGATAATGTTCTGATAATGTTTTCACTGGCCGGATAAACTTGGATGAGTGCCCGATCAACTAATTAACAAAATTAGTTGAAACCCCAGAAGAAAACAAAAAAAATAAACAAAACAATAAAAAATCTAAAAAATAAACACGGGGACTCAAACGTCCCCTTTTGGAAAAATTCGATGAGTTGATCGTTTTTGGCCGATTCGATGAGTTGAGGATTCGATGAGTTAAGGATTCGATGAGTTGAGTGTTTTTGGCCGATTCGATGAGTTGAGGATTCGATGAGTTAAGGATTCGATGAGTTGTAGGGTAGCCCTTTTTCACAAAGAAAGTTGTTTTTCTCTAATTTTTGCTTTAAATTTAACTGTAAACAATAAACAACCAGCCGTCCGCCATTTAATCGCAGCATTACCGGCCGTGTGCCATATAATCGCACACACTTATTGTTTAAATAAAACGCAGCCATTATATCGCAACTATGAAACTTTAATAGAGCACCTTTTAAGTTAGCACAATTTCCAGACCCAAATACAGTGGATTTAAGGGGAGAAAATAGCTGGCGACTTGGGTAGTAAGCGGCGGTTGTTAAACAGTTATAGATTTATTATCGCAAAATTATTTTTTAATAATTCATTTTTTACAAACTACCTATTTATCTTTATTAAACCATGTTAAATAGTTTTATCAGTAAACACCGAAAGTTTGACCTCTCCGCATTTTTATGGTTTTGTGATAATTTAAATTTGTTAGGAATTAGTTAAGTTCTTGAACAAAAACGGACCGGTTTTGTTCTTTTCTATTTTCAAAAAAACTATATTTTAAGAAATACAAATTTTTTGAAAAGAAAAAACAAAAATTTTACAAACTGTCAGATTTTGGATTTACAGATAGCTTTTGAATCTCCTTAATCTCAAAAAAAATGATTAATTAAATTTTTATGAACCCGCAGAAATTTTCGTTTTATTGACTGCTTTTGTTCTGTTATGGTTCGTTTTTTCTGATGTTTGTTTGTTTTAATTTGTTTTTACCTTTTAATTTTGTTCTGATTTTAATTGTTTACCATATTTCTACCGTATTTAGTTTAGAATAATGTTATTGCCAATTCTATTAAAGATTCGATTTTGTTTAAAAAAGGTATCTACAGAAATCATCAGATATTAAGGCATTCACATAAATCTGTTTTTGCGAAAAACAAAATTAGGAGGGGATTTTGAGGGGAAAAAGGGAGAAGTGAGAGCAAGTAAAAGGAAAAACTCAAAATGGAAAACAAGATAAAAGAGGATTAGCAAAAACAACAGGAGATTTCTTGGCAAAATAGAGATAGCAAGAGATTTGTATATAATCAGATAGAACAAGGGTGTGTAGGTTAATAGGGAACACAAGAGTTCCGAAGGAATAAACAGAACGGCAGGGACTGGGCCGTTTTGGCGCGGGGCCGTTTTGGCGCGAGCTTATAAGATAGCGAGTTCGTTATCAAAAATGATAAAATTTTGCAATAATAACTCTCGCACCTTTATCTAAGTTCTCCAAAAATTTCAGAATTTTTGATCAAGAATTTCGGAAATTGTGGCCAAAAATGTTGATTTTCTGCAAAATGCCTAATTTTTCGAGGTCTATCAACTATAACTTCGGAAATATTTGATGAAAAATTCTGAAATTTCTGGAGGAGGTAGTCAATGATGTTAAAGAAATTTGAGAAAATTTTTATGAAGATAGGTCTCGCCTAAGTACCACTTTTTTGTTCTCGCGCCAAAACGGCCCGGCGCCAAAACGACCCCAACCCGAACGGCATTAATATAGGGTGTAACGGAGAGATTTCTATGTATAAACAGAAAGATCAAGGAATTCGTGGATAATAAGGGCTAACAACGTATTCGGGGATTAAAAGGGATCACAAGGGATTCAAGCAACTAAGAGGAAGATCAAGATATTGGGGGTACAAGGTAGAAACCAAATGTCACTCCCAGCCGCCGAAAAACCTTTTCGCTAGCAAAAAAGAGAAATAGCTATAGTCCAGCAGCTTTTCTAAAATATAAATTACGAAGTAAGGAAAGTAGTTTTTGAGTTTGTACAGAAACAAATTACATCAAATATTTGGTCAAATTTGGATATATGCTTCTTAATTTTTGATATTCGTTCAACCCCATGCAAACGTTTTTGATCCCTACAAATCGTCTTTTATCCTAATTTAAGAGTTAAGAAAAATATCTGTTGTTTTTGAGGGAAACGGGAAAAATGCAAAACACAGGCGAATCAAATGTCTAGCATTTTCTTGCAACCTTTTCAACCAAGAATCACAGAATAACAACGAGTGCCATATCGTTTTTGTGTTATAAAATTTCCGGGCATATTGATATCGTGGATATTTAGGGATTTGGAGTGAATAATAGGACTTATAGAGAAAACAAAAGATAACGAAGGATATCAGGGGATTCTTCCTAATATATCCATAAAGCCTTCTTGATCTTATTAAACTATAAAGGCAGAGTAAAACTATCAAGGCAGATAAACCTACCAAGACAGCAAGCATATTAAATGTCTTGATCAAAGAAAAAAGGGATGGATAAAATAAAATTAGACAATAAAATCCACAAATCCAAACAACTAGAGAGGCGAATTTTGGATAAAAAATTCAATAGTACAAATGATAGCTCATTTAAAAGAGCTCGACGGGTTGAGTTAAATGACATCAAAATCAGCACGATAAGATGATTCTGAACAAAATTATGAACAACTTAACATTCCTTTAATAAAAGTTTTTGTGTTGCTACTGAGGGTAGGACGGCATTCAAAGCTGAGAATAGGTAAAAAGAAATAGGATTAAGTTACGAGCCCAGAACCCAGCGACCGTAGACTCCCTGCGAGGCGCGTGCCGCAAAACCCTGCGCGAAGCGCAGGGTTTTGCACAAGCGCCTCGCCGACGCCCATAAGTACACGTTGACCATTTTGAGCCTCTTTATCTTGGCTCAGGTGTCATTCGATTCAGCTCGAGGATCTCTTACGAATGAGCTATCATTCAAAAAATCGAATTTTTCACCCCAAAATTGTGCTTATCCCCACTATGGTTTTCCGATTTTCGGAGACCTATATCTCGGTCCACAGGCATCACCGGAAAAAAGTCGTTCGTCTTTGCACGCTGAGACGAAAAGAATGGTATGGGTCTTATATCGAATCCTTTCCACCGGTATACTATACTATATCCAAATTAGTGAAACCTCCTCCCCTCAAAACCCCTAGGTTCTCAAAATACATTATTTACACGCGAACCCCTTTTAAACATGAGATAAGCTCTAAACAGAGCAATAAAATCGTTTGTTCTTTTCACGCACTTTGCAGCAAATAAATTACAACTTTGAAAACTTAAAAAGAGCGGTAAGGGGCCGCGCAGCGGCCCCTTACCGCTCGTTATTATTAAAGAAATGACTCATATTATTTTGGTTTCACTCTATTCGTCGAAAGATCGGTAGACAAATAACTTCCGGTAAATTAAAAATAGAAACAAAATAATTAATTTAAAAAGAAAATATCCCCTTTCCGTCCCCTTTCTTCAATTCATAAATCAAAAATTCAACACAAATTTTAACGGTTACTAAAAAAAATAAATACTCTCTCAATTTTATATTTGTGAAGATTCTTTTATTTTTGAAAATTATTAATTTTTAGGATTTTAAGTACTAACTTATTTCAATACCTATCCAGTAGGGGTGTGCCGAAAATGATTTTAAAAAGCGAAAGGCGAAAATGCGAAAGTCAATAAAAAGCGAAACACGAAAGGCGAAAAGCCAAAAAAAGCGAAATTTTGGCGAAAGATGAAAAGGCGAAAGGCACACCCCTGCTCTCTAGCCTATCGTTGTATTTCTTTTTATTGAAATAATTTTTTAAACTAAAATCCTAAAAGATTAACAATTCTAAAAAATTTTCTAAAAAACAATATAATATTCGTATTAAAATAATCTGTGAGAAATAATAAGACAAAAAAAGGTAAACCAAAAATATTAATTGCATAATTCTCTAAATAAAAATATTTACTTTTTATTTGTAGTCAAATTCATGTTGCTGTCGATCAGCTAGAAAAATTTTATTTTACATAAATCTATTTAATTTATTTTCTTGAGAAAAAATTTTTTTAAATTAATTTTTAAAGAAAATTTTCTCTCTTTCAAAAAAAAACTAACTTTTACGCCGCTGTAAGGCAGAAAGAAAAGGGTCGTCGTTAAATTTATTTTGTTTTTGGACTTGAGCAAATGAAGGAAATAAACCGGATGTTGATGGCTTTAAAAATTGGTAAATAATTTTTAAAAATATTTTTTAAAGATCACCTGTGAATTTTGTGATGTAGCAGCGAATTGAGCGCTAGGATTTTGAGGAATATTGTTTTTTGCAAAAGGGTCATAAGTTGTCTCTACATTGGTAACATCTACAAATTCTGAAGAACCCATTTTGATTTTTAAATGGCCAGAAGTATATCCTCGACTGCCTAAAAAAGGAATTTTTTTTCGCAAATTGTCTATTAACACTAAATAAAAATTTTTCCCCTAAAGTAATTCATAAAAAGCTTGACTAAAATTAATTTCTTATTATTTATATGGATGGATCGGTTTAGGAAACTGCCTCAAACTGTTCGCAGAATCTTTTTGGAAATAAATGGGCGAATAAAAGGAAAAAATAGAAAGGACTAAAAATCAAAATTAAAAAAAATTAAAAAAATCCTTTCCCCACCTCTATCAAGCAACCAATAAGTTATTCCAGCCACACAATGTTGAAGCATATATTGCAAAAAGATTGCACCAATTCCACTAAAAATAAAATATCAAATAAAATTTATTTTTGAATTTTAATCAAACCTAAAAAGCGTCATAACTCCTTCTTTTCTTATTATTGAAGAAAAACAATCAAAAATTCCCGAATAACGACCAGCTGGAACCAAAGCTTCTGCACCGCTATCCAAATTGTCTATTAATGTGCGGGTGCCTTGAAAAGTAAAATAAATAATTAATCTAAAAAATTAAAAATGAAAACCTTGAATATAAAGTCTGTGAAGAACAGTCTCAAGTGGATAACAAACAATATCTGCAACAAAAACACTGGTCATTGAAGAAAAAAGTTCTGGCATAATTGTGTGATAACGTCTACGTTCTGAAGGAAGTTTACGACTCTAAAACAAAAGAAGAGATTTAAATAAATTGCCGAAAGTTGAGGTTTTATTTGGAAAATCCTAAAAATCAAGCCCAGAACATTTTTGAAAATAAATTCGAGAGATGTCAAAGTTAGCTTTTGCATATTAGGTAAAACAATAAATATGGACAAATTATCCTTGTTAGTAAAACTCAACATACTCCAGCTTAAAAAAATAAATTTTTTTTAAACTAACAACAAAAGTGCGTGTCCAAGAATACGAAGTAGTATAAACATATTGACAGACAAGAAAATGCATTGTTTGATGAAGGGATGTGGGAAATGCCAGCCAAAGCAAAGAATGCCTTCTACGAACGCCTTCTGCCATAGCAGAACCACCAAAAACGTCTTGCCTGAGTCTCTAAAAAATAAAGAAATATTTTTGAAAAATTCCAAAAAAACAAACATCATATCCTTTTGTAATAATTTCAGCAATTTGGAGATCTTCGGCTAAACCAGTACCAGTACGGACTGTTTCAAGAAAGGCAGTAACAATTACAGGGGTGCAGAAAATAAAATTGAAACTTGAAGAAAAAAATAATTTTGTAAAAAAAAAACGAAAAACAAACGTTTTAAGCCAGACATGCCGCCAAAATCGTTGAGAACTTCCATCGAGTACAAAGGATTTTGGCAAGCCTAATAATTCAGCGATGACCTGAAAATGGGAAAAATGGATGAATTACAGGAGACAGACAAAAAAACTTCATCAGAAAAATAAAATCTTACTAATTCTGAGACGCTTGAAAAAGCCCAGAGTACTCCATTACCAACAGCTCCTTTCCATAACGAGAGAAAACCCTTTTGAAATAAATTTAATTTAAAAAAATAAACTAATTTATACATCTTTTGCAGTCAATTTAATAATAACAGGCACCAAAGTAGTAGGAAAGAAGTGCTTGCGATAGGCATGGTCATGTATTTGGCATTGACGTCGGAGAACAACAAATGGATGACGAATGACCACACCATTAATAAAACTTAAAAAATATTTGGAAAATAAATTTAAAAAGTTACTTTGCAAAGCCAAGTCCTAACGCTGCCACAGCATCCCCTTTATAAGGTTTACCATGTCCAGCTCCACCAATACCAGTAAAAAAGGATGACATCCAAAATAGAATAGAATTTCAAAAAAAATTCTTTTTGTTCAATTAAGTCATTAAAATAAATTAGAGTATTTCTAACAAAAATTTCAAAAAAATCAAAATTAATATAAAAATATATTTATAAACAAAAAAAAAACAATGAACAAATTAGTAGAAGAAGAAAAAAGAAAATTCGTTCAGTCTAAAATGAGATTTCTCAAATTGAAGTATTGAAATAAGAATAGAATTATTTTTAGAAATTTTTTTAGTTAATTCACATGAAAATTTAAATAGAAAAATTTTAAAATATTTTCACTTAAAAAACTTCGTAATTTTTCAAAAATAAGTGAAAAAATATTAAATAATATAAAAATTAGAGTTGCCCTCGCTCGAACCAAAACTCGAAAGATCGAGCAAGTCAAGGCTTTTCAGCTCGAAGAACTCGAAAACGAACCGCATCAAAAACCAAACTCGAAAAAACCCCCGAACTCGGCTCAAATCGAAAACGGCAACCCTGATAAAAATGTTTTAGAAAATAAAAAATAGTATAGTATATGCATATTTCCATAGTAAAATTATTAATAAAATTTTTTTTAGAATTTAGATTATATATTAAGGTCACTTAGAGAATATTCACAATGCTTAAATTCACAATCATATAAAAATAT